TTGATGAACGCGAGGGACAGTTTGGTAGGTTGATGGGGTATGAAGACAGACAGCAGAAGGGTTGGCTTGAGAGAAGAGTCTTGAAATGAGTGTCTTCATTGACTGTCCCTCCTATTCTCTGAATTTTTTTCCTTCCAAACTTGTTCTTCCCATGTTTCTATGGAATATGTTTAATGAGGAAATGAGATTAAAAGAAGCCAGTGTTTCTGCTGGTGCTACCAGGGAATGGGGGATACAGGATTGGCGTTTCTAATAAGGAAAGTCACTTTCATTATTTCTGTGAACCAGAGGTCAGTGGTAGAAATCATTTTAAATAGCAAAAAAATCATTTTGCTTTTGCTTTCTAGTACCCTTTAAATATCCATTTGAATATAATTGAGTCTGTTGACTTTTAAGTTAAAATAGTGAAGCCACAGTCTGAAAATTCTCGTCTTCCTTCTCTGCCACATTCCTGTTTCCCTTATAGGCTATAGAAAACATGACCTGCCAACACAATTTGATTTCAGCAGCTTTCTCTTGAAATTTATTACATATACTCTCATCTCTTAAGTAGATGGGGAGTTGGCAAACGTCTTGAGAAGCCTTTTCTTGGTAACTGAATCAAAATAGACACCAGGGGCCTCAAAAACCCTAGGACTTGGGTACAAGCACACAAAGATGGAATGAGAGAAGATGGGCACTTGGGAATGTGTAAGGGCAAGACAGCAAAGAACCTACTGAATTTACGAGTGGAAAATTTCTAACGTAGTGGGAATTGTCTCATTCGGGTTGGATTAAACTTTTCAGAATTTCAGAAAATCTTTTTTAAAACCATCTATGGTTTCTACATAATCTTCACTTTTGACTGCCACTGGCAGGAATTTGATACCATTTTTCTTTGCTGAATGTACCCTGGAAGGAGTGGTACTTCTACTCTTTGCTGGTTTGGGGTGGGTTTCCTGACCAAGCGGGGCACTTTAAGCCCATATAGAACCCTAAATAAGAATGAGAGGCTCGGAAAGCTTACTGCAGCCCAATTAAAGGACAGCCTGAGAGGGTAGGCTTTACCTTTGCTGATCCTGTTGATTGTCTCCTCTGGGGATTAAAGACAAACCTTCCTTAACAAGCACATTGAGTAGGTTGGGTTTCCAAAACTCTCCAGGACCAGTAATTAATCCAGCTGGTAATGAGAGCACAGTGCTGAATTCTGGAAAGAAATCATTTAACTCTTTCTATACTGAATAGTTCATTTTCCCTTAATGATAGTCCCTTTAGCCTTCGCACTGTTTATTTGGGACAGTATAAAATAATAGTCTGGTGGAAAATCGTCTTTTTCAGTGAAGTCACATCATTTCTATGCATTTAAAAGCAAAGAATGGTCTTCATCCCCCAAATGTACAGACTTGAAAAGTCAACTTTTATAGTAGAAAGTGCTTTTTACCTCTTGTTTTGATATGGGGGCAAATTTATACATTTGATGATTAGTAAAAAGTTAAAATCTACCTCTGAGTTAGAACTTGTATACCAGCAGTTAAATTTCACTCTGGTCCCATTTTTTAATTTTTGGTGGAGTTTTGCCTGTGTACGCAACCTTCCCTGTGTGTTGCTTGTTTCTCCTACTCTCTTCTTCCCAAGACTTTGAGACATTTCCATCCAGAGATTTCTAGCACATGGAACATCTCTGACAGCTGCCTAGTTCTAGTTTTCTCTTCTAATTATGGTTACACTTGAGTCCCATTTTCTGATGATTTCCATTAGTAATCTGCTTGTACACTTTAAAAAAAAATGCTCAAATATCCCACAGAAAAAATTGCCTAAACCATCTATGCATTGGGGCGTGTTGGTAACAGCTTAATTCCTCAAGGCACGGAATTGGCCTCAGTGGTCACTTTTTGATTCTAGCATTCTTTATTTCTCATCTTGAGCCATGTTTACACAGATACATATAAACTCATACTTCCATCTCCTTCTGCCTTTTTCCCCATACCCACCATACCCACCTTGGAAAACTAAGGATAAATGTCTTTCCATACATCACAATGTGTTTAGTACTAGAAAACCATTTCAGAACATTTTTGACTTTTTCTTTGAATTTGAGAAAAGGGCTGATGACTGAAGTAATAATAGTAAAACTGCTGTTAAGTCAGTGCAACTATGTGCATATATCCCCACTATCTCTGATCCTTTGAATTGACCCTGTATACTTGCCATTAGCATTTTGCAGTTGAGAAAATTAACATTCAGAGAGAGCTGGGATTCAGAGCCAACTCTCTGAGTCTGGAGTTTGTGTTCTTACTGACTGATTGACAAGAAGTTGACTTGAGAAGTAGTCAAGAGATATTTCACAAAGAATGTGGGATTTGCTGGGCAACAAGGAACAAGTGTCAGCATTGGAATAGTAGCTTGAGAAGGTGCTCCAGTAAGGGGAACAAATCAAAAGGATAAAGCAGGAATGAGTTCAGTTCATAGATAGTGCAGAGATTCACCTAAATAGGACCAAGGCTGCCTGTTGGCAATTAGGAACTGAGTATGCTGGGAGGCTGGATTGTGGCGGGCTGGAAAAGCTAAACAGAGGAGTCTAGTTTGGTTGCTAGTAGTGAGAGGCCATTTGAAAGTTTTTTGTTTTCATTGTTTTTTTTTTTTTTTTGAGCATAGGATCTGTGCAGCATTTAGGGAAATCTGTCTGTCAAGGATGCATGGGATGAGGAAGAAAGGGGAGAACCTGGAATTCCATAAGAAGGTCAGCTAGAAGGATGCACTAGCCTTGGGCTAGGAAGTGGGGATGAAGGTGGGTCTGGAAAAGAAGAGATGGAGAGCACAGACATTTCAAAGAAGAAAGAATTGAACTTGCAATGAGTAGCTAGATGGGTGTTGAAGGAAAGAGGTAAAGCTGACTGAGATTGAGCTTGACTGTCTAGGGAAAGAAAGTGGGGTTCTACTAGCAAAGACTAAGACTGAGAAGACAGGTAGTTGGAGAGAAGGCAGAGGAGGGTTTTAAATGAGTGTGCACTGCCCACACTTCCCGTAACCTGTGAGTCCTTGAAACCCAGTGAAAACCTGATGTGAGAGAGCCAAAAAAACAAGACAGGATGGAAGGTGTCTGTCACCAGGTGCCAGGGTGACCCAGGGCTGAAGAATGTGGGAAACCATGATGCGACTGGGTGCGGGATCAGAAGCTCAAAGTCATCAGAATTGGAGAATGTATGGGGTTCCAGGTGGTATTGGAGCAGACTCTTGGTAGCCAAGTGTTTTTGACAGCGAGTTCTTCTGGACACTGTAGTCTTATGTTAATTTAGAGCTGTTGAGCCTTACATCATTATCTCCAGACTCTGCTAGGTATGGATATTCAGAACTCTCCTTTTGGAGAGTGTTAATGGGATTAAAAGAAAAGAGAGACTTGTGAAAGTGTGTGGTATCAGTATATTTTTGCATTTGAGAAAGCCATTATTTTTTTCCCTTGAAGAAACGCAAATATTGTGTGTGAGGATTAAGGCTTTTCCTTCTCCCTGTATCTGAGGCAAGAAAAAGACACCCTCCCAGGAAAGCAGGATAAAGGGGAAAATGACTTTGAGATGCACTTTCTTAAAATAACTGAAGGAGTGACCTCATGAGCCAGCGGATAGCCTGGGTTTGCAAATGGATACTTTCTATTAGCCTGCTGCTTGATGCCGCAGAGCCAAATATATACAGAGTGTATTATATCATATCCTGTAGGCAGGAGACTGTCTGGGAGAGATGGACTTGGGGAGGTGAAATGGCAGGCTCCGCACAAGGATCGATGATGTAAATACAGTCAACCAGAGCTCTCCTCGTTAGGGGAAGCATTACTGATTTGGGTTCATGATTCCCTCTTATATAATAATTGGTATCAGCTTCTGGTAAAATAATATTCAAATAAGAACACCTGATATCTCAGTAGGCTCTTGAATGTAAAACTGGTGTTGTGCTCATTCTCCCATTAATACTTAACCATTCCCATTTCTGTTTTCTTTTTCTCTTTTATTACTGCAAGCCCATGTCCTTGGGTCTGACTCATTGCTAAAATTGTCTTCTCCTTTTGGTCTTGAGCTGTAGGGGCAGTATGGATGTGTCCTTAGTTGGAGGATACTGCTTCTCTCTGGAGTGTTGCAGAGGTTAAAGGGAAAGCAGTAGGTCCAGGGAGGAATGTTATAACTTGATAAACTGCTTCTCTTGCCAAAATTCATTGTCAGCAATTAAGAGTATTCACAAAGTAAGCTCCCCTTCTCCTCCAACATACACACTCAGTGTGGTTACTGTGCCAAGAGATAAAGAATGGCAGTTGTCTCTGGTTTAACACCTGCCTGGTCTGGATTCGATTTGTGAAATAAATCTGAATGAAGTCCATAATGTGTTTAAGATCACATATGCTCACTCTATGTGTATGTCAGACTCAGAGACATTGGCCTAGCATACCAGAAACTTTCTGGAAAAGCTTTAGGGTTATTTTCCCTTTTTATTAAGTAGACCCTATTTCCCATTTGTAACCAACCACCTTCCTGAATGTTCTTACTGTTTATAGTAGTTTTTCGTATGATTCTCTGGGGTTTTCCAGATGCACAGTCATATCATCTACAAATAGTGATGATTCTACCTGCTCCTCACCTCTTATTTCTCTGATCTGTTTGCCCTGGTTACTACCTCCAGAACAATGTTGAAAACACATCGGCTTTGTTTGACACCTTAAATGTGTGGAAAGCTGCTGTAGGATGGAAATGAGAGAAATAGCATCCATAGTATCTTAGGCAGAAATCAGACTCGTTGGCAGGTATTCTTGATCTTCTAGGGCCAAATCAATGAAATATAGCTTAAGGTATACTTTACCAACATATGTATAATTCTCAGCCACCCATGGAGCTATGGTAACCTGTGGAAAAACAACGGGTTCTCATCAGTCACATTTTGGAATTCTCTGGGACCCTCCAGGAAGGCTCTCTGTTTTAGACACAAGCACACCCCAGATGTTTTTCATGACTGCTGATGACCACACTCTTGTCTTCCAGGCCCAGCTTCGGGCATTTATTCCAGAGATGCTCAAGTACTCCACAGGTCGAGGAAAACCAGGCTGGGGCAAAGAAAGCTGCAAGCCCATCTGGTGGCCTGAAGATATCCCATGGGCAAATGTCCGGAGTGACGTCCGCACAGAAGAGCAAAAGCAGAGGGTGAGGGTTTCTCAGACCTGAGTAGCCTGGTGCTTTTCCACACTGAATCAACTACCTCAATTCTGGGGGTTCTACTTCTTATGCTAAAAAGTCTAAAAACATATGTGTGAAAGTCAAACTTGTCTCCCAGAAAAGTTTGATACTGTCTGATTTGTAGCCTTTCCCATTCCATCACTTCATCAGTATAAAGACTCGGGGCAGGTCCATGAGTTTACACTTCTCTCTGCCTACTTGCCTTTTGGGGCAGTTTTAATATTATGAGGTGCTTGGAAAAACTGAAGAAGCGTTAAGAAGAAGGATTAATCACTCTGAAGACTTAGAAGATGTCCTTATTTCTGGTTAGCAGGAACCACTGTTGAGAAATATAAATATAGAGTTAAAGAGATAAGAAGTTGGCTGAGTCTGATAATGATACTTCTTTTTAAAAAGATGGGCTCAACTAGATGTCATCCCTTGCTTTTTCTGCATATTTGTTTTTTAGTTAGCCTGGAAGTTTATTGAGAATCTTAATATAAAATTCTTGACAAAAAAGTCAACTTCTTTTGTGAGTTGGCCTCAGAAAAACCCAAAAGCTAAACCAGGCTTTGATCAGGAAGGAAACTAGTAGGAAATCTTTGGTGCTTGGTGCTGAATTTCTTTGTGCCACAATCAGTCTAAGGGAAATAACCCTGAGGGAGCTTATTCCGTACAGGTTTGGTTTGGTTTGATAAATAAGCACCTGCTTATTCCATAGTGGGGCTGAATAACCAACATTCTTTGTGACTTTAATGTGCTTGTCTGGTCTTTTGGTGACAGGTTTCATGGACTCAGGCACTACGGACCATAGTTAAAAACTGTTATAAACAGCATGGGCGGGAGGACCTTTTGTATGCTTTCGAAGATCAGCAAACACAAACACAGGCCACAACCACACACAGTATAGCCCATCTTGTACCATCACAGACCGTAGTCCAGACCTTTAGTAACCCTGACGGCACCGTCTCACTTATCCAGGTGAGTAAACCTGTGGTTCTCAGACTGTGGCTTCTGAGGTGGATCAGCGGGCACCTCACCTCAGACTGGAGAAAATTTTTGTCATGCAAACTCTTAATTAACTTTTTATAGCTTCCCGAAGTCTTTCTATCTGAAATTGATTTTTGAATAATACTTTAAATTGTTTGCAATTTGTTAAATACAGAGCTATCGGTAGCTTTTTCTTTGTTTTTTCCAAAACAAAGCACTGTTAAATTGGCTACTTTTGTACTGTTTCATTCTATCAAGGACCAGGAGCTATTCCTTCAGAATTAGCTCTTCTGAGGTAAAACATAACTTGTTGGTAGATGGGGAACCTCTAAAATTCCAATTGGGGTGAAAGTAGAAAGTTGGTTGACTGATACTAGTTTACTGGTGGTGAAACGTGATAGCTTCTGATATTGATTTATTTGGTTGAAATAAAATTCTGAACCTCATGTAAGTATCTGAGATATGATTTTAGTAACGCATTTCACATTACAAAGCATATTAATCATTACCTTTGCTGAATTTGGGATTACATGAATCTTAACTTCTGAGTAAGGGAGAGGTAGAATGATCCATCCGCTGACAACACTCTCCGTGTTTTTCTTTAGGTTGGTACAGGGGCAACGGTAGCCACATTGGCTGATGCTTCAGAATTGCCAACCACAGTCACTGTTGCCCAAGTGAATTATTCTGCAGTGGCTGATGGAGAGGTAAGAAAGAGGATTTGGTCTGCGTCTACTTAAAATACTTAAATGTGTAGGTGAGGGAGTAGTTAGAGTCCAGAATATAAAAAGACCGGGTAGCCGACACATCTGCAGCATTATTTTATTTAAGCCTTTTAAAACATCAGACCATGACAGTTTTGTGGAGTATCTTATGCTGTGTGTATTAATTGTAATAATTGAAATTATAATTTTACATTTGCAATATAGCATTTTGTATAATACACAATAAAAAGAGATTATCCATGTAATACTTTTATGCTGTGAATCCCAAAGATTTAATCATTGGGCTTTATTAAAAAAAATTGATTATTAAGACTGGAGCTACTGAAGAATTCTTTGGAGGGATAAAAATATTTGTATATCAGTGGCCATGATTTATAACATTTTAAATATGCCTTTGAAAAGACTTTATGAGAAAATCCTTCTCTACCAAAATCAAGGTAATTATGGGACGTTAACCTAATGGTAGCTAGCCTTAATTGAGCACTTGGTAAGCTAAGAAGAATAGGTTCTGTTATCTTCACTTTATAGATGAGAAAACTGAAACATGTAGAGGTTGGGTGACTTGTCCAAAGTCACGGAGTAAGTGTTGAAGCTGAGTAATGCATTTAGAAAAATGTTGTCCAGGCTCTGAGCTCTGAGCCATTTGTGAAGTTCAGGAAAGGGTTCATTAAGGCACTGTGGGCTTTTCCCTTAAAGGTACCAGTATGGTGTAGCCCTGAAGCTTGAAAAACAGCTAACAAATGTCAAAGAGCAGTATTAGAAATAAAGCTAAAAGTATTATCTCATCCTTGTTCACAACCATGGGGCTTTCCACTCAGAACACCACAGAAGTCATTTTCATTTGCACAACTCAGGAAAGGGAGAGAAGTAAGAAAGATCTCATGGCTAGGGAGATGAAGAAAACACAGCCAGGCTCTGCAGTCGGCCAGCAGGAAGTGAGCCCATGTCATGCTGCACTGACGCATTAGATGCGTGAAGTGGATTTACACGGGAACCCTGCTCGCAAGACGCTCCTGCTGTCTGGTGGGGGAGAGAAATGTCTACATAAATGAACGCTGTTCCATGCTGTAGAAGATGCTGCAAAGTGGTCTGTGCCTTCAGGAGAGAATGTTTCCAGCTAGGGAGTCTGGGAAGGTTTGGGGGCAGGAGCAGCATTTGGTTTTACAGTATAGGAAAGTAACAGTCGACAGGATATTTACTTTTATAAGTATATAAACATCATGGAAGAGCATGGATTAGCTGAGGGAAAAATCCATCTCCCCAAACACTACACTTGATCTTAGCCAAAAGGCCGAGAAGCGATTCCCCAAACACTAGAACTGGAGGACACTAGATGACACTAGAACTTGAAGTGTGAAAGAGAGAAAAGACAGTGGTGGGTACATTCACAAGATTTCTTACTCTCTGACTTAACCAAAGTTATCAACCATATCTCCCTACTGAATGTTTCCTGATACTATTTAAAGAAAGCAGCTCTGTTTCTTAAACATTTCTCTAGAGACTAATTCTTTGAAGCCCATTTTACTAAATAACTTCACATATATAGTGGTAATTAACATATTCAGAAGTTCACGGAAAAATAGGAAAAATTTTTAAAAAATCTCAGTGACTTATCTACGGCTTTGTCAGCACACCATTTTTAAGTCATCGATTGTAGGAATGGGTGAATGACAGAAATAGCCTGCTGGTAAATACCCAAATTCAGTCAGATTTAAAAAAAAATGTAACTCTTTGCACACTTCCAGTGAAATAAAAATGGTATGAAGAGAAGCAGCACAGGTTATCTCAGAAAGGGACAAAATGTCTTTAGATTTCAAAGTGTGATTTATTTGCCTTCTCATTTCTCCTAGATGTTGACATGGTTGTTAGCATCTCAGTTTTGAACCATAAGAACTGGAATTACTCAAAATATCTCACTGCTTAGGGCAGATAAGACCACATCAAGTTAATGAAACATTATATCAGATGACTCAGTGAAAACATCCTACTGCCTTGTATTTCACATCTTTTCTTCCAAGGAACAGAAAGTACTGTACAAAAATAAATGATACCTATACTTTTAGAAGTTGTGAGGTCATTTTGTTATCCTCCTTAACCTTGCCAGTGAGACCTCTTGCCATTAGACTACACTGCCTTCAACATCCAGTTAGTTACATTTAGTTACATTTGTCTCTTCTGGTAATATATGGTCTCCCAAATCTGTTTGAATACTCTGTCCTGAGAATGCCCAATAATCTAAGTCCAGTTGACCCTTGAACAACGTGAGAGTTAGGGGCACAGACCCCCTATGCAGTCAAATTCACATATAACTTTTTGACTCCCCCAAAACTTAACTACTAATAGCCTAGTATTGATCAGAAGCTTTACTGATAACATAAACAGTCAACTAACACATATTCTATATGTTATACGTATTATATACTGTATTCTTATAATAAGGCAAGCTAAAGAAAGTATTATTTAAAAAATCATAAGGAAGAGAAAACATGTTTATAGTACTACACTGTATTTATTGAAAAAAAATCCCCTTATAAATGGACCCACACAGTTCAAACCTGTGTTATTCAAGGGTTGACTGAAGTTACAAAGAAACAAAAAATCTCTAACCTTAGTCAGCTTAAAACTAATTAAGGACACTATAAGTTACATAGACATTTAGAAATGAACAAGGAAATAGGGGCGCCTGACTGGCTCAGTGGGAAGAGCAGGTGACTATTGGTCTCAGTATTGTGAGTTCGGACCCCACGGTGGGTGAAGAGATTTCTTAAATGAATAAACAAACTTTAAAAAAAGACTTTTGGGGCACCTGACTGGCTCAATTGGAAGAGCATATGACTTTTGATCTCAGGGTCATGAGTTCAAACCCCATATTGGGTGTGGAACCTACTTTAAGAAAAAAAGAACAAGGAAAGAATTTGAAAATAATATGAAATAAACTATGTTGATTTCAAAATATTTATACAATTTCAATTTTGATGGCATACTTACAAATGCAAATGGGTTTGAGAATTTATTCTGTTGTGTTATAAGACCACCAGTTGGTAATGGTGATATTAATTGCATGTAAGTGTCAGAAAAGTCAAATTTGGAAAGAGAATGTTATGTGATCATAATGGTATATATGGTTCTGTTAGAAGAAGAAGAAGAAGAAACCAAAGTACAAAGACATTGAAGACATGAATTTTAAGCTGAACCATCCCACATGTAACAGTAGAACAACTTATTCTAGATGGTTTTTAATGAATATCAGTTTACCTGAAATATAAGTAGGCTGAAGAACAAGTAGGAAAACATGAATAAAGGAATATGTTCTCCATCCTGCCATTCAGTAAACACTTTCTGAGCCCTGTGCCATTTACATAGATTTGATACATAGAGGAAAATAAAGACTGCTCTTGCTCTTAAGGAGCACACAGGTAGGTGGTAGAGAAAAACACATCAAAGCACAATGGCAATGAGGTAAGGATCTAGAGGAAGCAAGCCCAGGGTGCTATGGAACACAGAGGAGAGATCCTGAGCCTCGACCACAGGGGAATAGAGGGAGTTGTCTGGACTCAAGGTTCACCTGAGGTCAGACAAGAAGCAAAGGTGGGAGTTGTCGTGTTCCTATCGAAGGGAACAGCACATGCAGTGCATCGCACTGGGAGAGTGTGGAAGAGAGTGGTTCACTGTAGCTAGAGGGGTAAGAGTGACCACAGTTTGAAGGGCCTCATTGGAGTGGGTCTCTCAGAAAAGCATTGATGCTAACTGTACATCCTCTGAATATCTTTCCCTCCTAGGGCTTGGGGCCCTTTCTCTGGGACATGGTGACATCCGGCATAGATAACCACACAGTGGCTCCCAACAGATGGAAAGGGAGAGCAACAAGAGCTCAAGCAAATACAACTAAAGCACTGAGACTGAAGAATAGGAAATTCCAAAGAAATGTTAACACCCAAGTGATTTATTTATCACCTGCCATTATTCTGAATAGAAATCTCTTCGTCTGCTTCTTCTTCCTACTTCCTCTCTACCCTTTGCCACCATCCATTAATCTTTCATGCCATATAATTTAACTTCCTTAAAGTATACTGTATATGGCATCTTTCTAATACCATTTTTGCTACGAATACAGTTGTAACTAAATGTGTATACATTAAATTGCTGCCATTGGAGTCTGAGTATTGGGAGAGCCGCACTAGGCCAAGCTCTGCAGTGGGATGGGCAAAAATATAGAGGGGCAGATCTGGAAAGAGGAAGACTGTTTAATGGCAAAAGGTGACAGGGGCTGGTCAGCTTTGGCTGGTGTTTTGAGTGGAATCATAGACCATCTGCAAATTGGCAGTGTCACTTGCCATTTTAAGTGGCATCATTTGCAGTGACACTCACTGGAGCAATGAAATCAAAGAGATATTAACTCTTGGGAAGCAAGAGTTTTGTGAGTTCCTGAGTGGGCAACTTTGCAGCTCTAAGGGGGAGGAAATGGGATGTCTCTGCCTCTTAGTGATGGGCTTTGAAGGCTTGCTGGCATAATCCACTGCCTATGAGAACTCAGGGCAAATACTAGGGTAGTTCAAAGGAATGTCCCATTTTCTGGGAGGCTTTTGACAAGCATTCTGAGAAGCACTGTCATCGTCTTAAGTATGGTAATAGAAAAGCAGGAGGCATTTTAAGTATCTACCTCTCCTAAGCTTGTGACACTTTCTTTGGGACACAGTTAATATGCAAGCACAAGCTCTCCACTCGCTGGGCCCAAGCAATGTGAATCAGAGCTCCAGTGAGCACAGCTGACATCCGGAGACCCAAACCCATAGAGATATTGTACCTGAGCGGACTGATTTATCACCTACCCTAATTTCGCTTAGAAATTGCTTTCACTGCCCCTGCCCTTTTTGTTTTTGAGGGGGAATAATTAATCAACTGCACTTATAGAGCAAAATGGACTAAAGTAGCTAGATACAGGTATCCAGGACTGAGAAATCTCTAAATGCAAAGCATTATACTAAAAGGAGTGGTTCTCAATCAGGGTATACCCTCCCCCCCCCCCCCAGGACATTTGGTAATATCTGGAGATGTTTTTGAATATCATGACTGGGGAGGGTGCTGTTATCATCTAGTGAGTGGGTAGAAGCCAGTGGTACTGCGAAACATCCTACAATGCACAGGACAGCCCCCCCCCCCAAGCAAAGACTTGTCTGGCCTCAAATGTTAATAATGCCAGTGCTGAGAAAACCCCTGTCCTTGATCTAACAAAACTAAATCCTAGTCTGTTCTCTCACCAGATAAAAGTTTTTTTGTATGTTTTATTTTGTTTCTTCATAATTCCTCTCCACTAAAAGGAAAGCCGTTTTTGCTACATTAAAAAAAAAATGTTTCCTGAATTCGGCAGTTTCCATCAAAAATTAAAATATATAATAACTTTAATAGACAGTCCCACCTCTAGGAATTTACTCCATAAGTAGACTCCCATAAAATATACAATGTGGTATGCAAAGATATTCATCACAGTACTGTTTGTAATAGCAAGAGACTAGAAACTTCTTAAATGCCCATTAAAAGATGGCTGGTTAAATAAATCATGGTGTGCTTACATACTACAATGCTGTGCAGCCATCATTATGAGTCATGAATGAATGAAGTAGTTTTATATGTTCCAAAATAGAATTACTTCAGAGATGTATTGTTGGTGAAACAAGCAAGGCACAAAAAGATAATGTAGAATAAGCTGCCATTTTTATTTTTTAAGAGGGAGTAGGAAGGGGGAAATAGGGAGAGAGAGAGAGAGAATGTGTGTGTGTGTGTGTGTGTGTGTGTGTGTGTGTGTGTGTGTGTGTAAATATGCTTGCATATAGAGAGAATGTCCCTGCAAAGACACATAAGAGATAGGTAACCGTAGCCACCTCTGGGCAAAAGGTCGGGAGTACCAGCATTGCATATCCTTTGGTATTTGAATTTTTTTAGAATTATATTTATGGTCTATTCAAAAATTCTAACTTTTGAATTTTATGGTTTATTCAAATTTTTTAATCTGAGCCGTATTAATACATTACCTATTCAAAAGAATTCATAAGAATAGGTAATACATTGATTGATACGGCTCCGATATTTCAAAAATTATTTAAAAGTATACATTGGAAAATCTTGCTTTCTGTCTCCTAGCCAACCTATATCCCACAACTCCCCTCCCCGCCACACACAAGGAGGAAAATATTTTCAGTGGTTTCTTTTGTGTCCTTCCAGAATTTCTTTGTGCAAATATAAGCAAATTCAAATATATATTCTAATACCCCCCTTTTTATACACAAAAGATAGCATACTAAAAACCCTGTTCTGTACATTGTAGGTCATGTTAATTTAAAAATGTGTATGTATTTGGCTGAGCACGTAGCAATTTGTTATAATCCTTTTGTGACTTTGATTCTTTACTCTCCTGTCCTTTCTGCCTCAGGTGGAACAAAACTGGGCCACGTTACAGGGAGGTGAGATGACCATCCAGACGACACAAGCGTCAGAGGCCACCCAGGCAGTGGCCTCATTGGCGGAGGCCGCGGTGGCAGCTTCTCAGGAGATGCAACAGGGAGCTACAGTCACCATGGCACTCAACAGGTGGAGGCAGGGCTGGGGGAATACACGAGGACGGTGAATCTGTCCCTACCTACGGGTCGAAAAGAGAAATGTGGTACCTCTGTCACAACTGGCGGTTGGAGCTTAACATTAACACTCTTGGCCCCTAGGGTATTGTAGTTTGGCTTCTAATCGGCCTCCGCTCACCCCGTTACTGCCCCACCTCACCCCACAGCAACCAGTCCAGCCTTCTGACTTCCAGCTCAAGCCTGCTGATAGAGGGACATCAATCCGTTTTGCTTTATCCTACCTTGTGCCCTTTATCAGACCAAAAGCAGCAGGGTTTGAGTACCTTTGGGTTTTTAAAGGGACCAAAGGATATAATAAAGCAAGCAGCTTCAGGACTGATTTTCCATTTACCCTACAGAACAAATTGCTTTAGTCATACTTTCACTCCTACAAAAGAAACTTTTTGTTAGAGGCATTAATCGATGTTTGGACTGGTTGAGAGCTGATTTTACTGACTTTTCAGGAAATTTGTTTCCCTTGCTTATCAGTAACTTTGAAATGAGTTTTATTTAGATTATTAGGAAAAATAACTTAAATATTTTTCTTCAGGTATGTTTAGGAAAGGTGCTGCAGAATAGGATACTCCAGTGAGAGTTTCCAAAACGATATTGTTCCCTGCTTGCTTCCTTCTGTTGGTTGTTGACAGAAGAGATCATCCCTATATCATTCTTTTTCTCTTCATTGCTGACATAATTTTCTTTTCAGTGGACTCAAGCATTTTACTTAGTAGTTAATTGTGTGGGTCTTGAAGCTAGACCATCTGGGTTTACATTGCAGCTCTGTCACCTACTAGCTGTTTGACCTTGGATCATTTACTTGAACTCAGTGCCCAGGCTTTCCTCTTCTGTGAAATGGGTGTAATAACAATAGCTCCCTTGTAGGGGTGTTATGAGGACTGAGAAAGCCACTGCACGCAAGATCCTTAGATCAGTGCCTTGCATATGGTAAGGCTACTGTCCCCATTATGTGCCACAGCTGTGAGCCTCACAGTTAGCCACTGAATTCCTATGACCTGCCTGCACTCTACTGGGGAAGGTTGTAAAATAAGGAGTGCTCTAAGATACAATGTCTGCCCAAAGAGAAGTCCTACTGTTATCTTTGGGGGAATTGATTTAAGTAAAACACTTTGTAAACACTAGTACTCAGCATAATTCACTATTGAATTGTGTAGTACAGACCATGAACATTGTAGAAATTCAGAGGAAGGGGATAACCTCCTCCAAAATATATATATAAAAAAAAAACAGCCAAAGTTTAGATTGGTTGTGATAGGTAACTAGAAAGTCTTGATAGGCTTATGTACGAATGATTTCCATGTGGCTGTATAGTATGGGGACTGAGAAGGTTCTGAGGTCACGCAGATTCAGGTTTGAATTCTAGCTCTGCCACTTACTAGCCATTTGATCTTGGTTTCCTCATCATAAGGATAATTTTCATCATATAGAATTTAAAAAGATTCACTGAGATGATATATATAAAACTCTCATCAAAGTGTCCAACCCATAGTTAGCACTTCAAGAATTAGAGTTGTCAGGGCACCTGGGTGGTTCAGTCGGTGTCCGACTCTTGATTTACACTCGGGTCATGAGCTCAGGGTTGTGGGATTGAGCTCCGCACTGGGCATGGAGCCCGCTTAATATTCTCTCTCTCTCTCCCCGACCCGTCTAAAAAAAAAGAAAAGAATTAGAGTTATCATTGAAATTGCATTTTAAATTTTGTCTATTCAGAATTACTTACGATGAGAAGAGATTAGAAATAGAAGGCCAGTTAGGAAGAGGCAGGCCAAGTGTGCCTTGTTAAAGCCTTGGAAACTAAAGTAGTGAGAGTGGAGATAAAGTGACTGGGTTTGAAGGGAGTGTGGCCAGAGTGTGGTTGATTAGGTATGCAACACACACACCTCCCAGGGGTACTCAGTGAGTCCCCAAGTGACCTGGGATTGAAACTTTTTCCTTAGCCCATTGAACCATGTGGCTTTTCAGTAACATGAAAGTCTTATTTGACCCCTTGCACTTTGGCCCAACCCCACTCCTTCCTTTGAGAGAGGATGCACGGATAAACTTCCTAAAAGTCATGGCCAGAGTGAAAACCTCCCTCTTGGTCTGGTAACCCCTCGCTGTGGCATGGAGCCTAACGGGGCCAGCATTAAAGACCATCAAAACTTGATTTCATTGAGCCAACACCTTGGATATTCCAATGAAGTGTGAGTGTCCTGGGAACCCTATACATAGTGGAAAATATGAGGCACCTTCTGGCTCCCTTTAGTGTAAGGACCAGGGCTTATTTCTAAAGGCAAGGAGAGTAATGGTTTCCCCTGAGGGCTTGTTAACAAGCTCAGATGCGGCTGAGGTGGCTACAGTGTTTACTCCAAAGGAAGGAGAATGCTGCTCACTCTGGCATGGAGGAGGAGTAGAGATGTTGAAATCTCTTTGCAATCAGAGAGTTCAGCGCCTTGATGAGTGTTGGGGGATGGTGTGTTGCTCTGCTAGATGTGAAGAAACCAAGCCCGGCAGCCAAGACTAGACTATAGTCGGGCTACTAGGGGCTTTCTGATTCCAAGCGAGGTCACCCACTGTCTAATGCCAGGAGGTTTGGACTTAAGACGCAGACCCCTGGTGTTTGCTTCTTTGTGGAATTAGACAATACTCCCAGCCTCTCTCTGCAGGTTGTGTTGCTGGAAGTCATCTTAGTGAAAACTACACTGAGAAATCTGGTCTTTGTTCCCATGGTAACAAAGCGATTTCATAGAGCTGCTTCCATCTAGCCTGTTTCAGGTGCAGATGGAACAAGCATGGTTCTTTAATAATCACCTGCCCCACTGCTGCGCTGTAAACAGCAGATGTGGGTGCAGAGTGAGGAGTGAAAGGCAAGCTGCATGATATGGCAGGTGGGGAATAAGAAGGCAGAGGGGCTCCTTCATCTGCTGGAGGGGAAAGGGGGGTCATTTAGGACAGATGCAGGACAGACCTTTTTTCAACCACACTATTAAAAGAGTTTTGTGTAGCAAGTCAGAACAAGGGCCCTGGACTCAAACAGCCTTCAGCCCACCCTGGCATTATAAATAACCCAAAGAGGGTAAGGAGAAATTGTCATTAAGAATCTGGAAAGAGGGACACCTGGGTGGCTCAGTCGTTAAGCGTCTGCCTTCGGCTCAGGTCATGATCCCAGGGTCCTGGGATCGAGCCCCACATCGGGCTCCCTACTCAGCGGGGAGCCTGCTTCTCCCTCTCCCACTCCCTCTGCTTGTGCTCTCTCTCTGTCAAATAAATAAATAAAATCTTTAAAAAAAAAAGAATCTGGAAACAGTTAATTTTAATTATTTTCAAAATACATAATAAATCAGCACTTTTAGGAAGGAGATGGGGAGAGAATCAAAAGGAACAAATGATGTGCGGAACATTACAGCTCAAAAAACCAAAAGTACTCAGCTGAACAACCAGAGGGAAAGGAAGTGAAATCATCATTTGCTTCTTGCGATACAAAAATTAATTTGAAGTTTCAGTTTGTTAGTTAAGCCATCCTAGATTATATTCCCTCTTAAGTCAGTTTAAGTCACTACAGCCCTGGGGTGCCTGGCTGGCTCAGTCAGGAGAGCACACGACTCTTAATTTCAGGCTCCCCACACTGGGCATGGAGCCTACTTAAAAAAAAAAAATTGTCTTAAAGTCAGCACAGCCCTTGCATATACACATGCATGGTAAGTATTTATAGCCTGAGTCTACATTTGCCCTAGTAGGAATTCACACTGTGTTGTCGACACCGAGACAATTTTTACTTGTGTGTCTACTGTCTGTCATGCTGCGACTCAGCAGTATGCGGAAGCAGTGGCTTGCTTTGAGTCCGCTTCTCAAGGAACTCAGAGTTGCTCTTCTTTTGCTATGAAGACACTTGGCATAAAAAAAGAAGTGAATCCTATTTTTAAAGAAAAATTTACTGGTGTTTTTTTTTTTTTTAATGAAAGTACTATTGACTTAGAATTAGAGATATTAAAATAAAATATGGCTGCAGTGTACGGACTGGTACTTATTTGTCTAGTAAAATGGGATAGATGGCCTAGACTAGAAGCCCTCTCTGGAGATGGAGGGCAGCTGCTGCCTGCTCCTGGCTATGAAGGCTGGGCAGTTGCAGATGAGAAGCTGATGAAAACTTTGCATTGGTAACTCTGGTTTAGAAACTTACTTTTGTCAAAAACTTGTGAACAGTAGCTTCACCTTGTAAGTAAAGGGCATCTTTTCCTCGCAGTCTAGTTTGCTCACTCCCATGAGGTCTAGTGTCAGTGGTTAGGGTAGATTTGGAAATGAAGGCCTGTTGGCCGCCGGGGTGGCCACGTCATGCCCCACGGGGAAGATCCCTCCACCACTGCTATGCCTCTGGCGCCTGAGCAGGGATGAGATAACCAACCTCCCCAGCCTGGGAGCTCGGCATCCTCCTCACACCTCTGGTCCCGGATTGCACTGGCTTGGGCTGGTTCACATCCTTTCCTCTGCCAAACATATTTTAGAAAGGTGTTAAAGAAAATGACTTCAAACATGTAGAGCTTCAGATGTAATAAAATAGGTGTGATTGGGAACGGGTGCACTTCCACATCCGCGTAGCTGTCCTCCCTTCATCGCCCATAAAACTCCACACTGCAAGCCCGTGTCCAGGGTCTCCAAGACTGGCAGGACATCCCCTCTGATGGTCACAGAAATATGAGTATACAAATTGTGACAAAAACTATGGGGAATGGAGCAGTCACTGAGGTAACCTGTAAACAGAGATCGTATTTCCATAGAAACAATTCTCATTTACAGCTTCCTTCTTCAAAATACCACACTGCTGCAGCTTTTCTCAAAGAATAGACTTTTCAGCTCTCTGCGATGTCTCAGGACAGAGAGTGTGAGATATTTTTGTCATGAATCAGTGACAGCTGGATACTGTAAAATTTTCTAAGAAACATCAGTTTCTTAAAAAAATATATTAAAGATCTAGACACAATCATTAATTTTATGATCTCTTTTTTTATTATTTTTAAAAGATTTTATTTATTTATTTGATACAGAGAGAGAGACAGCTAGAGAGGGAACACAAGCAGAGGGAGCGGGAGAGGGAGAAGCAGGCTCCTGGCTGAGCAGGGAGCCCAATGGGGGGGCTCGATCCCAGGACCCTTGGGATCATGACCTGAGCCGAAGGCAAATGCTTAACGACTGAGTCACCCAGGCACCCCATAATTTTATGATCTCTAATAAAGATTTTTGAAGGACTTTAAAATTAAACTCTACCATGTAAAATGTAAAGAATAGCCTTTAGTAGTAATTGCAGATCAAAGGTCCCTTTCAGTTCTAAATTAATGTCACAGATACTGTGCAATGACTGACTGTGGGCATCGGATCACGAAGAAGTGTGTCTCACCATGGAGGGTGATCTTAGCTCTCACATGGCCTGCACATGCACCCTAGGACTGTTGAGCTTTTTGCTCAGCCTCAGTTACACCCCCAAATGTTTATGAAGGAAGCAAACAAATTTGAAATACGTAATTATGACCTTGAACTAACTCAAAGGAAGCCAGGAACTTGAAAGTTGCCACAGATGAGTGACTAGGGAAAAAAAGAGGGGTGTGTGTCAGCAATTTTGCATTTATTATTTTGAATAAGTGTCAGAGAGTATTTACATGGGGAAATACAATGTTAGGTGAAAAAAAGTAGGCTATAAAACTGCAGTATGATCCTGATTATTAGCTGTTGTATTTAAGATTAGAGGGAAATAATTTCTCTCTGTATATTTTTAAAGTTTCTTTTATATTTAATGAAACTTTAACAAGTATGCTATGTGTATTTTATTATCAGAAAAAATAACTTTTGAACAGAGACCTAAAAATTAAAAAACAAATCAAATTAGTAAGAAAGGGAGAATTTTCAATTTAAGGGGACTTTTCTATCCATTGGGTTTCTTTTACTGCTTCCTAGAATCCCTACATTCCCCCAGGGAAGTGATTATGTCAGTTGCTTTACTTGTCTGCTGACTTTCACAAGTGAAAGTGACACTGTTGAGTGTGGTACATGTTGCTTTGCCCACAGTAAGGACACGTCTACCCTAACCAGTCCAGGGCCCTCGTCCCCCAATCCCACCTACAGCTCGTGACTACGAGGTGTGCCTGCCAGAGTTAGGGCCTGCAGCTTCAGAGCAAAGCTGAATCAACTGGCTTCTTCGGTGTCAAACCCAGGACTTTGCCCATCTCTGCAGAACTGGATGACACCACCTCCTCTACTCCATGCCCGCATTTGATACTCCTTCAGTAACTGTGCAAAGCGGGAGCTGATACTTTTCCAGGAGAGGTGCTGAATTTCTGCTTCTTTCACATTTTAACATCTCGGAAATTTGGATACTACAATACTACAGTTATCAGGCATATTTTCTTTCTTGCTGGCACATAAAATAATGGAGCATTTTCTAGTTTGTAGCATCCTAGAATCAATAAAAATGGGTATTTGTGCATTTGGGAAAAGCGTATCAAGAAAAAGAGAAAAATAGGATACAAATTGCTAGAATGGTGCTCACTATAAACAGATGGTTAATATCTTTCTATTTTACAAAGTGTTTGCAGTGAAGGGAGATTTCTTGTTTCATTGTGTTTCTGGAAGCTAGGAGTTTGGGCTGATGTGATCATTTAAAATTTCAAGCCTTAATTTAGCACTGCCCACATGTACCCTGAGGCAAAGAGAAGAGCTAGACTTTGCAGGATATTAGGGTCTTAGCCATTACTTTGTATTGGAAGTCATGGATATGAACTACATTGTTATTATTTAATATTAATTAAATAGCGAGTCCAGGTTGTTAACTTCTCGTATCATCCATCCTCTGCCGCCAAAGGGCAGTTTTAGATAATCTGCCTAATGTTACCATAAAGAGAAGAGAGAACAAGAAAGCCTTGTGATTGCCAACCAGAAAGACTTTTGCATTGTCAATGTGGATCAGAGCTCCCACTCTGGCTGGCAGGCACTCAACCAATATTGATAAAGAGATTGGTAATGAGTGCCTTCTGTCCTCAAACACCCATTTCTTTTCTTTTTTTCTTTTAAGATTTTATTTATTTATTTGACAGAGAGAGACACAGTGAGAGAGGGAACACAAGCAGGGGGAGTGGGAGGGGGAGAAGCAGGCCTCCCGTGGAGCAGGGAGCCCGATGCGGGGCTCGATCCCAGGACCCTGGGATCACGACTTGAGCCAAAGGCAGATGCTTAACGACTGAGCCACCCAGGCGCCCCCTCAAACACCCGTTTCTTAGACTTAAAGAAAATGTCACATTAGCTTTATAAATCTGTAGGACTTGGGGCGCCAGGGTGGCTCAGTCGTTAGGCATCTGCCGTTGGCTCAGGTCGTGATCCCAGGGTCCTGGGATCGAGCCCCGCATTGGGCTCCCTGCTTGGCGGGAAGCCTGCTTCTCCCTCTCCCACTCCCCCCTGCTTGTGTTCTCTCTCTCGCTGTGTCTCTCTCTGTCAAATAAATAAATAAAATCTTTAAAAAGAATAAAAAATAAATAAATCTGTAAGACTTGGGGGTTCTCTAGCTATTTACTGTTATCATTTAAAAATTCCTCTGGCTCTGTCCAGCAGTACTGGACTCCTGCATTCACTGGTAGGCTCATAGCCATGGAGTCAGTAGAGAGATCCAAGGAAGGGTTGGGAGGATGGGTTGTCTTGCTGCAGTGCTGTACCTTTATTCAACTTACACAGCCCCCTCTCTGCTGTTCCTGTGCCCACAGTGAAGCCGCCGCCCATGCTGTCGCCACACTGGCCGAGGCCACCTTGCAAGGAGGGGGACAGATCGTACTGTCTGGGGAAACCGCAGCAGCTGTCGGAGCACTTACTGGAGTCCAAGATGCTAATGGTAAGAGAGCATAAATATTTTATTGAATATCTTCCCTGTTTCCACTTAAACCTTCATGACATGACTGACAGCAGACCCTTCAGAAAGAGGTTGAGCTTTGATTTGAGTTTTTCTTTATTGATAGGCAATTGATGCCGAGTGAAATTCTAGGAGCCTCTCTGATTCCTTTCACTAGTAGGAGACTTGGGGTTTTCAGCGGCGGGGCGGGGTCGGGGGGAACGCCATGATAATGGCTATCTAACTGAATTGCTTATTTGAAAAGTATTTTGCTGTGATAGGACTGAGAGGTACTTTAAAATTTGCTGTGGGGCACATTTTGTTCTTTACTCTCCCATGGGGCAGATCAGTGTCCTTTGCTGTAGCAGAGACCCTCCCATGGGCAGGTGCTTTGTAAGTTAGAACATGCTGTCTTAAGAAAGGCACCAGCATCTCACACGGGGTCAGTCAGCGGGCTGTGACGAAGGCGCTTTTCTGGTTGGTGCCATGAGTCTGCCTCCTGTTAAATGTGGCCTCACCAGGGACCTCTGGATTTAGCCAATAACACGCCACCACCCTGCCCTTCTTTCCCATCTCTTTGACTTCCTGGATATTGGTGATTTCTTGAATAAACAAAAGGGATAAAGTTCATAGAAATATGGTGGCAAAAATTTACAACTCCAGCCCAGCTCTTTGGATCCACGTCAGCAGGCTCTGGAAGTCAGTTACCAAGACTTGGGCTGCCTGGGGAAGTGCCTCAAAAGTCTGGGTCAAAGAGAAGGACCAGACCCATTCTGTGACACTCTGTGATTGTTTATTAAACTTATATATATATATATATATGTAATTAGGTTAAGTAGGACAAGTTAAGTACTCCATGGTTTTTGGAGATTTCTTTTTAGTCTTGAAAAGAGGATAAATAATAACATAGTCTTATTTAGACAGAAAGTTCCTTAATGACATCAGTGGCTGAGAGAAAAGTTCCTGGCACTTTTTAAAGGATAGATCTGTTGTTATAAGTGAACAAAGGTACCTGGAAAAGTCTTTGAAGAAAGACCCAAAGCTGTGTCCTCCTTTGGAAGTGAGAAGAGGAAAGTACTTGTGTCTGTCACCCAGAGAATAACACAGGAAATGTGAAGAGCCCCTGAGAATCATTTTCTTAAAAAACAAACAAACAACAAAATCAAATACTACAACTAGAGCCTGCCTTTTCTGTAGGGTTAGGGGCTTCCATGAACTAACCCTAACAGAGTTAGACTTGATCTTAGCCAGAACACTGCAGGTTAAAGGGCACCTTACAGCCATGTGTGTTCAGGATGAAATGGACCATAGGTAGATTTAAGGAAAACCTCCCCCTTTAGCTAGAATCCTACCCCTACTTTCTTACTTTATGCTACTCCTCTTCTGAGTCCTAATCTACCTTGAACAGAGAGGATATCTGGCTCTGCGACATTCTTCTGAAGTGCAGATTGCTGTTACTCCCTGTGGAATGCTCCAGATACTCCTCTGCCTGGGTTTGATAGGAGACTAGGAGACTGTTATCCCTTCTAATGGTCTTGACATGTCGTGGCTAGGAGAATAGACAGCTTTAGAGTTCTGGCTCCTCCTCAGCCTCACCTTCTCAGATGAATTTATAGGTAAGTATAAGGACCCTGGGGGTCTCTGGCCAAGTGGACCCATTCAGCCATACAGTAAAGCTGAACCACACCTACTACTGTTGATTCCTGGAAGCTGCCTCTTTTCAGTTGCCTTGGGGTGTGTGAATCAGTTGTGTTGATTTCATGTAGTTGATTGTGTTGGCAGTAAGGGAAAATTCTGGTCTACATCCTAAAAGCCAGTGGTTCCCAAAGAAGGCCGTCCCCAGTGTGTGACTGCCAACATGTGCCGAACTAAGACGTGGGAGTTGGAGTTAGCACTTTCTCAGCGCAGCGTTTCTGATTCACACCAGGCGGTTGAGTTGTGCCTTACACCAGCAATTTCAGGGGAAGGCCAATCATTTCATCTCTCCCTTGGGAATCCAGAGAGTGAATCTAATATTGGATATGATCCAAATAATTCTGATGCTCCTTCTGTCTTCTCACATTTTACCCAGAGTGCTGTAGAGTTTACTGTGGGGCTGGAACCAGATCTCTCCCATGTACATAGCTGATTTGGTATCTGGATAGACTTTTAGGGAATTCTCTTTTCATCATTCTTTCAGATTGTTTCCTGTTGCCCAAGTTTGTCACTTCTGTGATGATAACCTTATGGTGTCTGCCAGTAGACCAAGTTGATTATCAGGAAGAGTATTATCAGGAAGAACCAGTTGGTAGAGGAACAAGGTGCTATTTGGAAAACGCCACTACTAGGGAAAAAGAAATGCTCCCCAGATTCCAGAGCATGGTTTAAATAAAAATCCTACTAGCAGACAACTCTTCTGAGAGCAATCTGGATATTGTTTAGGCCTGAAACAGAGGGAGTTTCTGCATCTTCTGGGATGGAGAACCATTGTGTGTGTTGCTTGATAGAGTACGGTAATGGGAGAGAGATGTCTGGGCAGCAAGGATATGAAGCAGTGTCCTGTAGGACAGTGGTTTTCAAGTGAAAGATAACAACCCATGCATACACGCCAGAAGTTTAATTTCTGGGTCACCAAGGCAGATTGGACGGAGACCTTGCGCCCTGAAGATGTCTCCTTTTGTCTGGACTCTAACCCACCCCGACACTAAGGGGACTACTCAAGCACTGGTATTACTTTATCTCATGTATGCTCTCCCTTTTTTGATAGCACTAAATAGGTCTTTGGTCTCTTAGGATGGAATTTCATGGTTTGGTTCAATTGAAAGTTTTCACAGGTTCCTTTCTTTTTATTGACGTGCAGGGAGAATTGCCTAAGACTAGGGAAGGCCTCTCCATGAGTGCCTTCCTTTACATCTTTTCTCGTCTGCTCCTTTCTTTTCTTTTCTTTCTCTCACAGTCGCTCCTTGCCTCCCCACCCCCCAACACCTTAATATAAAAGGTTGTGTAGTCTGTGAGGCAGGCCCACACAGGGGTTGAAGGGCTCTGTGACCCATAGTCACCTCTCACCTGACCTCGCCACCCATGGTCAGCCATCATCGGGCAACCAGATCTACACATCTTTTTTCTTCCTTTCTATTTCAGCAGAAATAATTAAAAATAGGAACTATATTGACCCTCGGCCACCTCTTCCAAGGTGCTGTTATGTCTGAGATCTTATTGCATATTCATGCAGCTGTCTTTTATTCCTAAAAGCTAGATGGGGGGGTGGGGAGGGACTAAACAGATAGTTCATAGTTAATCAATAAAGATAATGGGAATCATCTGCTTCAACTGTTGTCCCATTAAGCCTCTTACCAGAGCTGCTAAGAAAGTATCCTATTTTAAAGATATAACCCCTTTAATTGTATATGTTGCAAATAGGGTTTTTTTTTTCAGTTTATTTTTATTTTACTTCTGTTACTTTCATTTTTATTTCCATAATTATTTGTCTTTGGCCTTTACATTTACATAGGCCCCAAATCAGATAAATATATAACAGTTCTTCTGTGGTCTCATTTTTTATTTTAAATACTGTAAAATAGGGGCGCCTGGGTGGCTCAATCAGTTAAGCGTCTGCCTTCAGCTCAGGTCATGACCCCAGGGTCCTGGGATTAAGTCCTGCATCGGGCTCCTTGCTCAGCGGGGAACCTGCTTCTCCCTCTGCCTGCCACTCTCCCTGCTTGTGCTCTTTCTCTCCCTCTCTGACAAATAAATAAATAAAATCTTAAAAAAAAAAAAAGCTTAAAAAAGATAAATACTGTAAAATATCTGGAATTTATTTTGGAATATGACATTAGGTAGGAATCTGAATTGATTTTTTTTCCCTACATAATCTATTCTAGTACCATTTATTCCATAAAAAGGTTGAAATCCATCCTTTCTAAACTAATTTAGAAAAATATGTCATTTTTATCATATGCAGAATTCTTTTTCATTTTTTGGTTTTTTATTTTAATTCCAGTATAGTTAACATACGGTGTTCTGTTAGTCTCAGGTGTACAATACAGTGATCCAACAGTTCTGTGCATTACTCGGTGCCCATCATGATGA